CCTGCAGGATGGACGTCTAGTCCCGCCCCAGCCTGCAAGGTGGCTCTATAGCCCCGCCCACAATTGCAGGATGGTCTTCTAGCCCCGCCCCCCACTGCCCTGCCAAGGGGACGCTCACACCACAAATAAACTGCCTGCACCTGACCCAAGCGCTCTTCTTCACCCACTAGAGTAACGTGGGGCGCCCAGCCCTGGGGAGGGGGTGCAGATCTCTCTAAGATCTCCAGAGGGAACCAGCAGGTGGCTCAATGGTTATGTCACTGGACTCCCACATAGTTCATTGCAGTTCCCACCCCAGATCCAGCAGCTTAAAATTCATGCGGGGGGCCGGCGGGTGGCCTGGTGGTGAAGGGTGCTGGACTGCCACATGGCTCCCTAGTCCATCCGAGTCCCGGGCCTGGCCGGCTTGCTTTCTCACTCGTCTTGCTTTCTCACTTTCTTTCTTTCTCACTCCGTGTCTCTCTCTGGTCAAATTAAAATAAATAAAAAATAAATTAAATAACTTTTTTTAGAATTATTTTATTTAACTTAATTAATTAATTTTAATTTGACCACAGAGGGACCGAGTGAGGAGAGGGGAGAGTGAGAAAAGAAGCTGCTAGGCCCGAGACTCAAACCACAGTCGGCCATGTGGGAGTCCAGTGCCCTTGACCATGCCACCTGCCGGCCTTGAAGTAAATTTTTTTTTGGGGGGGGGAGAGGTTTTTGCTATAGGGCGTGTGTGCTCACCAGAAAGACAGAGAGAGACAGGAAGCGAGAAATCACCCCCCGGGGGTATGGCCACACCACAATCCCTTCTTCATTCTCCTCTCGGGATCTTGGGCATGCACAGATCTTGGGCGCGCACACGTGCCCGGCGTGAGTTTAAGCCACTGGGGCTGGGTCTCAAACCGCGGTCGACTACATGGGAGTCCAGTGACATAGCCATTACGCCAACTGCTGGTCCCCAGGCGAACTTCTATTTAGGACTTTGGAGCACAGAGACAGAATCCAGATGTCACCTGGGTCACCTACTGGATTGTGTGACAGGTGGCTGCTGCCTGCCTGTCACAGGTCCCTATGGTGGCTGGGTCGGGTTGGAAGAAAGAGTATTTATCTTGAAGTGCCGATGCACTGGGCCTCAGTTTCCCCATGTGCAACAGGGTAGCCAGAGGGAGCCTAAACTGCAGGGGGAGGGCACTGGGGATCTTTTATTGCTTTAGGGTGTGTGTGTTCCTCAGAGACAGAAAGCAAGAAAGGGCCACCCCCGCCCCAGGGGGATTGTCATGCCACAATCCCTTCCCCATTGTCCTCGCTGGATTTTTGGCATGCATTCGTACATGCCCCGGCATGAGTTTTTGTTTCTGTTTTTTCTTTTTAAGAATTATTTCTTTATCTGGGACCGGCAGATGGCTATGTCGCTGGACTCTCGTGTAGTTGACCACACTTTGAGTCCCAGACCCGGTGGCTTAAACTCACGCCGGGCACATGTGCGTGTGCCCAAGATCCCGAGAGGAGAATGGAGGAGAAGGGATTGCGGCGTGGCCATCCCCCCTGGGGGGTGATTTTTTCCCACAGGGCATATTTGCACTGCACAGGTTTTTTTTTTTTTTTTTTTGCTTTTTAAAATTTTTATTATCATCATAATCTTTATATTACGTTGGACTACATATAACTTTACAGTGTATTACATTGCTTTTTCAAAAGGGAATGCCATGCATGTCAGTCAGTACAGAGACATTAATCTCCCTGCTTCAACATTCAATAACTTTTCTATGTTTTTCCCAATCATTATTATTATTATTCTAATTATTTTTTTAAACGGTCGATCACTAATTCTCATTTTGCTTGTGAAAAGACTTTACCCATCATGAAATACTTCTCAGACCAATCCAGTTGAGAATACTATACATGTCTCTTTCCGGCGAGCGCATGTGCCCTATAGCAAAAACCTCTCAAAAAAAAAAAAAGGGACCAGCAGATGGCGTGGTGATTAAGGCGCTGGACACTCCCACATGGCCAACCAGGGTTCAAGTCCTGAATCTGGTGGCTTGCTTTCTCACTTCCTCTCTCTCTCGTTTTCACCCTCTGTCTCTCTCTGGTCAAATTTTAAAAAAAAGAATGAAAAATAATAATAATTATTATTTAAAAAAAAAAAGATACTGTCTGTAGTAGGTTGAATGGCAGCCCAGAAGAACCCATGTCTAGGGGCCAGCGGGTGGCATAGTGGTTAAGGTGTTGAACTCTCACGTGACCGAACATGGTTCAAGTCCCAGATGTGGCGAAGTAGAAGCTATGGTGTGTGGGGGACCAGCAGGTGGCGTGGTGGTTAAGGTGCTGGACACTCCCACGTGGTCCACCATGGTTCAAATCCTGGTGGCTTGCTTTCTCACTTTCTCTCTCTCTCTCTCTCTCTGGTCAAATTAAAATAAATGAATGAATAAATAAATTAAAAAAAACATCATGCTGTCTTTGTGGGTGCCCAAAATCTCAGGAGAGTGGAGGAGAATTGTGGCATGGCCAACCCCGTTCGGGAGTGATTTCTCACTTTCTGTCTCTCTGTCTCTCTGGTGGGTACATGCACCCTATAGCAAAACTCTCAAACAAAATAAAAGAAATGTGACCAGCAGGTGGTGTGATGATTAAGGCGCTGGACTCCCACATGGCCAACCACAGTTCAAGTCCCAGATCTGCTGACTGGAAACTCACACTGGATGTGTGTGCATGCCTGCCAAAAATCCCAGGAAGACACGGGATTCTGGTGTGGCCATCTCCCGGGCGGGAGACATCTTATCCCTTCCCACCCTGCCTAATGACTGCCCAGGCTCTATAGCAAACGAACAAAATAATCCTACACGTACTAATTTCTAATCCTCGTATCTAGGAAGCTGAGCTAATTTAGAAAAAGCATCTTGGCAGATAAAATTAAGTGAAGGATCTTAAGAGGAGATCGCCCAGGATTACTCTGAGCAGCGCTAAATCCACTGATGGTGTTCCCATAAGACAAAGGAGGGGCCCAGCCCTCGTAACAGGCACTGAGAAACGCTGCTTCTCTGCACACTAAGGCCTGGGTTTTATTCCTGACCCAGTCTGGGACCAGCAGGTGGTATGATTAGGGCTCTGGACTCCCACATGGCCAACCACAGTTCAAATCCTGGACCTGGTGGCTTGCTTTCTCACTTTCCCTCTCACTCTCTGGTCAAATTAAAACTAATGAATAAATAAAATAAATAGAGACTAGCAGTTGGCATAATGGCTATGTCGCTGGACTCCCATGTAGTCGACCGCAGTTCACGTCCCAGACCCGGTGGATTAAACTCATACCGGGCACGTGTGCGTGCGTGCCCAAGATCCTGAGAGGAGAATGGAGGAGAAGGGATTGCAGCGTGGCCATCCCCCCTGGGGGGTGATTTCTCGCTTTCTGTCTCTCTGTCTCTGTCTCTGTCTTTCTGGCGAGCGCACACACCCTATAGCAAAAACCTCTCCAAAAAAAAATAAAAATCATGCCAGGTGCATGAGATTCCTCTCTCTCTCTTTCTCTCTATGTCTTTCTCTGGCAATAATAATAAATAAAAAATAATGAATCTTAAAAAAAAAAAAAAAAAAAAAAAAAAAAAAAAAAAACATGCCAGCCGCGTGTGTGTGCATTCCCAAAATCCTTAGAAGAGAATGGAAGAGAAGGGATTGCAACATGGCCACCCCCCTGGGAGGTGTTTGCTCACGTTCCTTCTCTGTGTGTCTCTCCAGAGAGTGCATGAGCCCTGTAGTGTGTGGGTGTGTGCCCTCCCACCGGAGAGCCTGGCAGGTGGCAGGGTGGATAAAGGCGCTGGACTCCCACATGGCTGACCACAGTTCAAGCCCTGGGCCTGGCTGCTTGCCTTCTTGCTTTCCCTTTCTCTCTCTCTCTCTCTGGTCAAATTGAAAATAAGAATGATAAATAAATAATCTTTAAAGCTAAAAAATTACAGGTTTGTTTATAAAAGGAAGCAGGGGCGCCATCGGATCCGGGGTGTACCTTGAACTCTTTTTTTTCACATGCTAGAACAATTTGGGGTCTTCCTGGGCACAGTCTCTCGCTCTCTCTGCCTATCTCTAGGTCTCTCTCTGTCTCTTCTCTCCTTTGTCTTTCTGCGTCTCTCTTCCTGTCTTCTACGGGGCAAATCCCTCCTGGCGGCTGTCTGGCCCAGCAGCTGCGATGCACTAAAAATAACCCAGTTGCCGCCGAAAGGCACCTAGGGACCCTGCCTGGAGCAGGTGGCAGGAGCCGGATGGATGTGCGACCTTGGCCGAGCGCCTCTGCAGCCCGGCCCTGAAATTCACCAGCCGGAGATCTGGGTGTGGCTTTAGCGTCCTGAGCCCGCCTCTCCTGCACGCCACCATCCAATCACTCACCGGTCTGTGCTGCCACTCAGGGAGTGGGCGTGGCCAGGCGCCGCGGGCGCCGCCGGCGGGTCCTGACCCGGGAAAGGAGGGGACCCTTGTGCGTGGGCTCAGCGGGGACCCACCTGATCTCGGGGAGGAACCGAGAGGGGACGGGTGACTTCCAAGTTCCTGCAACCAGACGAAGCGTGGGCGACCAGGCTGCGAGGCGGGGCGGGGCGGGCTTGCAGGTGCCGGTACGCCCCACTGTGCTGGCGGGACTTCCAAGGGTCTGCGGGGTGGAGGGAAGGCCAGCCTTGGACGTGAACTTGGGGGACGCTCGGGGAACAAAGTCCTGGGGGGGGCGTGGCCCCAGCTTTATTGGAAAGGTGTCACCTCTGGGGAAGGAGAAATGGGGGAGCGACAACGCAGAAACCACGCCTCTTCCAAGCCCCTCTGTTCTGTCTCCTCCACCGGGAAGCCCTCGGGGGCTCCTTCTAGGTTCACTGCCTGATTGACACAGAGTAGGTGTTCACGAAATACTGGTTGGGTTCAGGGTTGGCAATTTTGCTGAGTGATCTTGGAAATGTTACTCAACTTCTCTGGGCTTCCTTCTCTCTCTTAGTCTCAGAAATAAGGAAGTTAGTCCGAATCTCCAGGGGATTGGGAGGGGGCGTGGGCTGTGTTCGCAGTGACTGGATGACTGAGTTTCCACCCTGCTCAGGGCCCGGTACCCCAGACAGGCCTGTTCTTCGACCCGTCCTCCTCCCCACCCCCACCCCCACCCCCAGCATCTCTAGTTCCGAAGCCAGAGCAGGTGAGAGCGTGGCCCCTGGCTGAAACTTTGCAACCGATATGCCTTTGCTGTGTGACCTCAGAGAGCAGCCGCTTGTCTCTGAGCCTCAGTTTCCTCTGCTATTTTCTAAGAATTATTTATTTAATTTTATTTATTCATTTGCGTATTTTAATTTGACCAGAGAGAGAGAGGGAAAGTGAGCTGCCGGGTCCGCGCCTCGAACCATGGTTGGCCATGTGGGAGTGTCCAGCGCATTAAGCACCACGCCACCTGCTGGTCCCCTTCCTCTGCTATTCAATGGGAATCATGGAACCAATAGGTGGCATGGTGGTTAAGGCACTGGACCCCCACCTGGCCGACTGTGGTTTCAGTCCTGGAGTTGGCAGCTTGCTCTCTGACTTTCCCTCTCTCTCTCTCTCACTTTGGTCAAATTTAAAAAAAAAAAAAAAAAAAAAAGAAAAAAAAAAAATTTTTTAATGATTTTTTATAAGTATTTAATTTTGTATTATTATTTCTTTTTTAATTTAACTAAAGAGACAGAGAGAGAGTGAGAGAAGGAGAAAGTGAGAAAGCCTCCAGGTCCGGGACTTGAACTGCAGTCAAGCATGTGCAAGTTCAGCACCTTAATTACCATGCCACTTGCCGACCCCTTAAAAATGATTCTTAAGGGACCAGCAGTTAGCGTAATGGCTATGTCGCTGGACTCCTATGTAGTCAACCGTGGATCGAGTCCTGGACCCAGTAGCTTAACCTCACGCCGGGCGCGTGTGCGTGCGTGCCCAAGATCCCGAGAGGAGAATGGAGGAGCGTGGCCATCCCCCCTGGGGGGTGATTTCTCGCTTTCTGTTTCTGTCTTTCTGGCAAGCACACGTGCCCTACACCAAAAACCTCTCAAAAAAAAAAAAAAAAGAAAGAAAGAAAAGAAAAGAAAGAAAATACATGTTTTGGGGACTAGCAGATGGCATAATGGTTATATCACTGGACTCGCATATAGTCAACAATGGTTCAAGTCCTGGACCCAGCAGCTTAAAACTCATGCCAGGTACATGTGCATGCATGCCCCAAATCCTGAGAGGAGAATGGAGGAGAAGAGATTGCAGTGTGGCCATCCCCCCTGGGGGGTGATTTCTCCCTGTCTCTTTGTCTCTTTATGTCATTCTGCGTGTGCACGCACCCTATAGCAAAAATCTCTTTAAAAAGAAGAAAAGAAAATACACTTTTTTTAAAGTATTTTTTCCTAATTATTTTATTCAACTTTATATTTGACCAGAGAGGCACAGAGTGAGAGAGAGAGAGAGAGAGAGAGAGGGAAAGTGAGAAAGCAAGTCTTCAGGTCTGAGACTCGAACTGCAATAGTCCATATGGGAGTCCAGTGCCCTTAATCACCACGCCACCTGCCGGCCTCAAACCCAGGCCCCTTTGAGGTTTTCCTGGGGGGGAAGGACAGATTGGGGGTATTTTAGAGATGCAGGGTCTGCCCTGCATCTTCATGGAGGGCAGAGAAGGTTCTCAGGGGCTCCTGGGTCTCTCTTGGGCTCTGCCCTTCCCGAATCAGGAAGCTGGTGCAGGCTGGGGCCCGGCCAGGAGTTCAGCCAGGCCTTCTGTCCCTACGTGAACTGTTGAATGAAGGACCGGCTGACCTTGTGTCATTGTCATTTTATGAGGACCCAGGAGATGGGATCTGGAGAGCCTAGGCATTGTCATATGACATACGGTCTATGTGAGTCAGCTCCCTGGACTGTTCTCAGCTGGAGGCAGAAGAGAGGCTGTGTGACCTCCAGACAAGTCCTTGCCCTCTCTGAACCTTAGTCTCCGCATCTGTGAAATGAGGATCAATCATGATCTGCCGACGGGCTTCTGGGAGGCCATGAGATGATTCCGTCTCTGTGCTGGGGACACAGCCGGGATTCAATAACCGCTAGTCATCCTTTTCTCCAGGTTCTCCGGAGCGGCGCCTGTATCTTTAAATCATGCAAATGAACTGCGGGTGGTAGTGCTGCGGGGAGG